TTCCCCTCAGATTCCTGATCCCCCCTACTGCCCGTGATCATCAGGGTGAGGATTCTCCTAAGATTCCTGATCTCTTTCTCATTGCCCTTACTGGTACCTGGCACACTTATCATCTTGAACCTGCTGCTGGCCATGAGGATGATGAGGGTGAGGATTCCCCTCAGAATCCTGATCACTTTCTCAATACCCCTACTGGTACCTGGCACACTTATCGTCTTAAACCAGCTGCTTACCATGAGGGTGAGGACTCCCCTCAGATTCCTGATCTCCCCCCCTACTGCCCGTGGTCATCAGGGTGAGGATTCCCCTCATATTCCTTATCTCTTTCTCATTTCCCCTACTGGTACCTGGCACACTTATCATCCTGAACATGCTGCTGGCCATGAGGGTGATGAGGGTGAGGATTCCCCTCAGATTCCTGATCTCCCCCCTACTGCCCGTTGTTATCAAGGTGAGGATTCTCCTCAGATTCCTTATCTCTTTCTCATTGCCCCTACTGGTTTCTGGCACACTTATCATCCTGAACATGCTGCTGGCCATGAGGGTGATGAGGGTGAGGATTCTCCTCAGATTCCTGATCTCCCCCTTACTGCCCGTGGTCATCAGGGTGAGTATTCGCCTCAGATTCCTAATCTCTTTCTAATTACCCCTACTGATACCTGGCACACTTATCATCCTGAACCTGCTGCTGACCATGAGGGTCAGGACTCCCATCAAATTCCTGATCTCCCCCCCCCCCTACTGCCCGTGGTCATCAGGGTGAGGATTCCCCTCAGATTCCTTATCTCTTTCTCATCGCCCCTACTGGTACCTGGCACACTTATCATCCTGAACATGCTGCTGGCCATGAGGGTGATGAGGGTGTGGAATCCCCTCTGATTCCTGATCTATCCCCTACTGCCCGTGGTTATCAGGGTGAGGATTCCACACAGATTCCTGATCTCTTTCTCATTGCCCCTACTGGTACCTGGCACACTTATCAACCTTACCTGCTGCTGGCCATGAGGGTGATGAGGGTGAGGATACCCCTCAGATTCCTGATCTCCCCCCCTACTGCCCGTGGTCATCAGGGTGAGGATTCCCCTTAGATTCCTGATCTCTTTCTCATTGCCCCTACTGGTACCTGGAACACTTATCATCCTGAACCTGCTGCTGGCCATGAGGGTAATGAGGGTGAGGATTCCCCTCAGATTCTTGATCTCCCCCTACTGCCCGTGGTCATCAGGGTGAGGATTCTGCTCATTTTCCCGATCTCTTTCTCATTGCCCCTACTCGTACCTGGCACACTTATCAACCTTACCTGCTGCTGGCCATGAGGGTGATGAGGGTGAGGATTCCCCTCAGATTCCTGATTTCCCCTACTACCCGTGGTAATCAGGGTGAGGATTCCCCACAGATTCCTGATCTCATTCTCATTGCCCCTATTGGTATCTGGCACACTTATCATCCTGAACATGCTGCTGGCCTTGAGGGTGATGAGGGTGAGGATTCTCCTCAGATTCTTGATCTCACCACTACAACCCTTGGTCATCAGGGTGACGATTCCCCTCAGATTCCTAATTTCTTTCTCATTGCCCGTACTTGTACCTGGCACACTTATCATCCTGAACCTGCTGCTGGCCGTGAGTGAGAAGAGAGTGAGTATTCCCCTCAGATTCCAGATCTCCCCCCAACTGCCCGTGATCATCTGGGTGAGGATTCCCCTCAGATTCCTGATCTCTTTCTTATTGCCCCTACTGGTACCTGGCACACTTATCATCCTGAACCTGCTGCTGGCCTTGAGGGTGATGAGGGTGAGGTTTCCGCTCAGATTCCTGATCTCCCCCTACTGCCCGTGGTCATCAGAGTGACGATTCCCCTCAGATTCCTGATCTTTTTCTCATTGCCCCTACTGGTACTTGGCACACATATCAACTTGAACCTGCTGCTGGCCATTAGGGTGATGAGGGTGAGGATTCCCCTCAGATTCCTGATCTCCCCCTACTGCCCGTGGTCATCAGGGTGAGGATTCCCCTCAGATTCCTGATCTCTTTCTCATTGCCCCTACTGGTACCTGGCACACTTATCATCCTGAATCTGCTGCTGGCCATGAGGGTGATGAGGGTGAGGATTCCCCTCAGATTCCTGATCCCCCTACTGCCCGTGATCATCAGGGTGAGGATTCCCCTAAGATTCCTGATCTCTTTCTCATTGCCCTTACTGGTACCTGGCACACTTATCATCTTGAACCTGCTGCTGGCCATGAGGGTGATGAGGGTGAGGATTCCCCTCAGAATCCTGATCTCTTTCTCATTACCCCTACTGGTACCTAGCACACTTATCATCCTAAACCTGCTGCTTACCATGAGGGTGAGGACTCCCCTCAGATTCCTGATCTCCCCCCCTACTGCCCGTGGTCATCAGGGTGAGGATTCCCCTCAGATTCCTTATCTCTTTCTCATTGCCCCTACTGGTACCTGGCACACTTATCATCCTGAACATGCTGCTGGCCATGAGGGTGATGAGGGTGAGGATTCCCCTCTGATTCCTGATCTCCCCCCTACTGCCCGTTGTCATCAGGGTGAGGATTCTCATCAGATTCCTGATATCTTTCTCATTGCCCCTACTGGTACCTGGCACACTTATCATCCTGAACCTGCTGCTGGCCATGAGGGTGATGAGGGTGAGGATTCCCCTCAGATTCCTGATCTCCCCCTACTGCCCGTGATCATCAGGGTGAGGATTCCCCTCAGATTCCTGATCTCTTTCTCATTGCCCTTACTGGTACCTGGCACACTTATCATCTTGAACCTGCTGCTGGCCATGAGGGTGATGAGGGTGAGGATTCCCCTTAGAATCCTGATCTCTTTCTCATTGCCCCGACTGGTACCTGGCACACTTATCATCCTGAACCTGCTGCTGACCATGAGGGTGATGAGGGTGAGGACTCCCCTCAGATTCCTGATCTCCCCCCTACTGCCCGTGGTCATCAGGGTGAGGATTCCCCTCAGATTCCTTATCTCTTTCTCATTGCCCCTACTGGTACCTGGCACACATATCATCCTGAACATGCTGTTGGCCATAAGGGTGATGAGCGTGAGGATTCTCCTCAAATTCCTGATCTCCCCCCTACTGCCCGTGGTCATCAGGGTGAGTATTCGCCTCAGATTCCTGATCTCTTTCTCATTGTCCCTACTGGTACCTGGCACACTTATCATCCTGAACCTGCTGCTGACCATGAGGGTGAGGATTCCCCTCAGATTCCTTATCTCTCCCCTACTGCCCGTGGTCATCAGGGTGAGGATTCTCCTCAGATTCCTGATCTTTTTCTTATTGCCCCTACTGGTACCTGGCACACTTATCATCCTGAACCTGCTGCTGGCCATGAGGGTGATGAGAGTGAGGTTTCCCCTCAGATTCCTGATCTCCCCCCTACTGCCCGTGGTCATCACACGCCCCTCACTAGGTGCTTGTTCAGCATGTTGTTGTGTTGTGTTGTTCTTTACTTTTTTAACTCTGTATTGTATTTTGTTACTGTGTTGTGTTGTTTTTATGTTTTTAACTCTGTATTGTATTTTGTTACTGTGTTGGGTTGTTTTTATGTTTTTAACTCTGTATTTGTATTTTGTTTCTAGTATTCCACTTGCCATCTTTTGCAATATATATATATATATATATATATATATATATATATATATGTAGGAAAGGGAAGGGGATAAAGTAAAAGTAAAATGATCACAATTCGCTGCGAAACCGCATTATACATATAAGGGTGACCACGGTTCCTGTTCCGGTTCGAAATCGGCGGTTCCGGTTCCGTGGATGTCGAAATCGGAACCGAAATCTTATAGTAAGGTTCTGGTTCCGGTTCCGGTTCAGAACCGGCAGTTCCGGTTGGAACCGCCGGTTCTAACCGGAATTATTAAAAAAAGAATTAAAAAAAACTCTATAATATTTAATTTTTTTCGATTTGGAACCGGAACCGCCGGTTCCGGTTCCAAGATTTTACAAACCTTAACCGGAACCTATAGTTAAGAACCGAAACAGGAACCGTACGGACGGTTCCGGTTCGATTCCGGTTTGCACAGTCACAATTTCGGTTCAAACCTACCGGAACCGTGGTCATCTCTATATACATATGTATTTTACAATGTTGTTTTTGCATGCCAGCTAAAAAGGCTGACGTGACCCAGTCACTTGTCATTGACTTCAAAATCTCACAACTCCGTACATATTCGGTTGCACTTTGACTTTGCACATGCATATTCGGTGCCTTGCAAACCCCCAATGCTCTATACACCTTTGATATAGAAAAAAAAAAAAAACAATATTTTTACATTAATTACATTTATTCTTAAAAATATTATGTTTTTTCTTTAAAAATTACAAACACTCTATTCGTAATTAATATTTTATTTAATAATTCCGGTTAGAACCGACAGTTCCAACTGGAACTGTCGGTTCTGAACCGGAACCGGAACCGAAACCTTACTATAAGGTTCCGGTTCCGGTTTCACCATCCACGGAACCGGAATCGGAACCGTGATCACCCCTATTCAAAAGGCTTCGATTCACTCTGTATTTTTGTGCACAATACTCAGTGTAATCCTTCTTGGGGTTTAATTGGAAGAATGGAGTATGAAAATTATTTAATTTTTAGAATCACTCTAAATCTCTCTCCATCTCTTTGCACTACCTTACATTTTATTGTATGTGCTACTAATTCCATACTCGTATTAACACAAACACACATCTACGGAAAACCTAGCTACAAAATATTTTTGGCCAAATTCAAGACTTATGGAAGGAAATTTTATTTCCTTCACTCCGCCAATATCATACAAAAACATAGCACGACAACAATCTTGAAACTCGAATTTTTAAATCTTGGTCTAGTGTCATAGAAGTTAATCAAGTATTATTGGATATTATTTTACTATTAGATTTCAACTTGTAGTTGGAATGATGTGTTCGAAACGTGATATATAATGAAAAATTTATTATAACCACACTTAGTTGGGTGTAATAGAATACAACAAATTATATTCTTACATTTTTCAAAATAACAAATCAAAGAATTATTAAGAAAAAAATACAATGAAATTGATGAGAGGGGAAAACTAAATTATTAAATACTTGAGAAAAACAGTAGTGCGGAAGAATAAGTATGTAGCGCGGGGTAGCTAAAGAAAGCTAGTTCAAAGCGCCACACACCTTCCTAATGATCCCATTTTGACCTGTAAGCGGTTGAATTTCAGACATTTTAATCATGGCTAACGCGAAATCTGCTTGGAATGCCCGAGGGTTCCTTGCATACTCTGAAACTATGCTGTCCGTAGCTCCACCACTGAATAGAACTTGATCCGATTGAAGCAGACCTTTCTTTTGCAATAGGTTCTTGTAGTAGTTGTTATCTAAGGAATTTGGGGTCACTAAATCAAGTGCTGCCAAATTTCCATTTCCCGTGTCTTTAGGACATTGGCGTCTTCTAGTGCTAGCAAAACCGGCATCAATATCAGTACCATTGCCGTAAATTCTATCGCGAAATAGGAAGCATTGAGCTTGGCCGAGAGTGTGTGCACCAGACAAGGCAACCATGTCTCTTGTATTAAGGCCTTTGTTAGCGAAGCTAGATATGAGTTTATCCAGATTGTCGAAAGGGCCGGGAAGATCGGTTTCAGCTAAGGTATGGCTAGCCGTGGTGGAATCTCTTCTTCCCAGCTTCACTGTCCAAGACGGACCACCGACAGCAGCTGAAGCATCACGTGCAGCCACAGACAATACATCCGCACAGGATACAATAGCGGGACAAGATTTCTCTAGCTCGCGCTTTGCAGCCTCTATCACGTCATAACCCCTGGCAGAGCCAAGGTTGGGCAACGCTGTCTTTTCGCTCTCAATGGTTGGTGACTCGTCCAGTAAGATGGAAGCATCGCAACCCTGAACAAAGCAGTCGTGGAAATGGAGACGAACCAGGGAGGCGGCCATGCGGCGCTCACGAGAAACTGCTTGCCTTACGGCAGTGCGGATGATGTTTAGAGCGTTTGGGCATGTTTTGTCGTAAAATGTAGGGGAGAGTTGGCCTTGGCATTGCGAGGAGGAGAGCAGCAGAACGAGGGAGTATACAAATAATAATACTGCAAATGCCATGCAAGGCCTATTAGATGCCATTATTAATGTAATCTAAAAGGTATCTGCGAAAGGATGGGATTGAAAGAGGAGTTAAGTTGAGAAGATGAGAATGGAGATAGGCAAGATGATGAGAGAATGGAGAGGGTGCAGGGAGTATATATAGGAATGGGAATGGGATAAAGTAAAAGTAAAATGGTCACTATTGGCTGCGAATTGAAGCCGCGTTATCCCTATATGTATTTTACAACGTTGTAGATCAGAACAGCAGTGTTTGCATGCCAGCTAAGAAGGCTGACGTGACCCAGTCACCTGTCGTTGACTTCAAAATCTCACAACTGCTTTCCCATTCGCCATTCTTATAAGTTCTTTACTTTAATTAATTAATATTTATACAACTCCATACATAATCGGTGCTCAACATACATGACTGTATTTAGAAATGACTTTCTAATTTATTCGGTTAATAGTGTTTAAAAATGAGGCCTGATGACAATGTTAAGATAATAATTTATCTCTCTAACGGAAAGGTAAATAAACAACTTGTCTTATGATGAAATTCAATTCACAAAGTCAAGTTAACTATTGAAAAATTACTAATGTTAAGTTGGTCAAAGTTAGCGTTAAATTATTATTCCCAAAATTATATTAACATGAGCTAGTTCTATATAATTTACATGTACTAATACACTCAAAATACAATAGAATTTGACTAGCTCTAACTCAAGAAGAACTACTATTTTTATTATGATTAATTTGTAATTTTGTATTTATATTTTATCATTGCTTACACACTTTAGGGAAATTTGAAATGAAATTGTATACAATATCACTTGCCGAAAAACAATGGAAAATGTCGCAGTCAAAATGCGAAATTTCGATGAAACTTAGGATTGAATGACAACGACAGTGCATGCCATGCACATGCCTTGGCTACCAGCCTCCATAATAAAACACAAATCTCAAAATTTTATTATATAATATGGCACATCCATTTGACTGATTATCCATTGTTAAGTCAGCCACGGAATCTTTCGACTTTTCCAATTTATATATATGTTAGTTTACTTTTCTTATTTTTAAGTTAGACTTTATAATATATTCCAAATTGCTTAAAGTGAAGCGGCCAGTCCTTATATAAGCTGGATTACATTCGATCCTTAATAACGCGACGAGTCGCAGACAATAGAGACCACCTTCTTCCCTGCACCAACTATATATATATATATATATATATATATTTACTTCCACCTTCCCATTCTCAATCATTATCAAACCAATCCAACCTTAGCCACTTGAGTTTTCAGAGCTATAATCCCTCTGCAACTAAGCTACATTTCTCTATCTATCTATAATATATGGATGAGTGAATCTTTTACGTAGATTCAAAACCCTGACAGTTACACAATATGCCAAAATGGCAAAATCACCAAAGTAATGGACCAAATTAATTAACTAATTTCCTAATTACAAAAATTTTCTTAATCATACACAAATCAAAGATCAAAGAATAATGAGTGAAAGTAAGGAGACAAGATCCCAGATGGCCAATTTTTACAAGGAGCGAAATGAAATCGTGAAGAGAGCAAACGAGATATCATCTCTTTGCACCGTAAATGTTGTTATCATATGTTTTTCCATTTGAGGTCAATTGTTTGCACACGTTTTTGTGGGCCCCATTAGAGAGAGAAAAACGACGAAAATGTAAGACACGTGTGCGTTTCGAGCATCCACTGGGCGAGTAAATCCTGTTTTTCTTTTCTTGATTTTCTTTAAATCTAACTAAATAATGAATGCATCCGATACCATCATCAGTAGCCGACATACCAAAATCACCAAAATAATGGACCAAATTAATTAACTAATTTTCCAATTGCAAAAATTTTCTTGATCATACACAAATAAAAGATCAAAGAAGAATGAGTGAGAGTGAGGAGAAAAGATCCCACATGGAAAATTTTTACAAGGAGCGAAATGCAATCGTGAAGAGAGTAAACGAGATATCCATTCTTTGCGCTGTAAATGTTGTTAAGCAGTCAAATGTTTGTACACGTTTTTGTAGGCACCATTCGAGAGAGAAAAACGAAGGAAAAGTAAGACGCGTGCGCGTTTCGAGCATCTGATCAACCTAGGCGAGTAAATCTATTTTTTTTCTTGAATTTTTTTTTTAAAAAAATCTAACTAAACAATGAATGCATCCGATACAATCATCACTAGCCGACATACCAAAATCTCAAAATAATTAACTACTTTCCAAATTTAAAAAAAAAAAAAAATTCTTGATCAAAGATCAAAGAAGAATGAGTGAAATTGAGGAGACAAGATCCCAGATGGACAACTTTTACAAGGAGCGAAATGCAATCGTGAAGAGAGCAATCAAGATATCTACTCTTTGCGCCACAAATGTTGTTAAAATATGTTTCTCCATTTGCGTTCAAATGTTTGTAGACATATTTGTGGGCCCCATTAGAGAGAGAAAAACGAAGGAAAAGTAAGACACATGCTCGTTTCGAGTATCTACTAACGAGTAAATCTAGTTTTTTTTCTTGAATTGTTTTAAAATCTAACTAAACAATGAATGCCTCCAATACCATCATCACTAGCCAACATACCAAAATCACCAAAATAATGGAACAAATTAATTAATTAATTTCTCAATTACAAAAATTTTCTTGATCATACACAAATAAAAGATCAGTGAGAGTGAGGAGAAAAGATCCCATGTAGCAAATTTTTACAAGAAGCGAAATGCAATCGTGAAGAGATCAAACGAGATATCCGCGTACTCTTTGCGCTGCAAATGTTGTTACGCTATTAAATGTTTGTACACGTTTTTGTAGGCCCAATTAGAGAGAGAAAAAACAAGAAAAATTAAGGCACGTGCGCGTTTCGAGCATCGTCTAATCTACTAGGTGAGTAAATCTATTTTCTTTTCTTGAATTTTTTTAAATCTAACTATACAATGAGTGCATTTGATACTATCATCACTAGCCGACATACCAAAATCACCAAAATAATGGACCAAATTAATTAACTAATTTTTCAAATTGCAAAAATTTTCTTGATCATACAAAAATCAAAGATCAAAGAAGAATGAGTTAAATTGAGGAGACAAGATCCCAGATGATCAATTTTTACAAGGAGCGAAATGCAATCGTGAAGAGAGCAAATGAGATATCTACTTTTTGTGCCGCAAAAGTTGTTATCATATGTTTAGCCATCCATTTGCGGTCAAATGTTTGTAGATGTTTTTGTGGACCCCATTAGAGAGAGAAAAATGAAGAAAAAGTAACACGTGCCCATTTCTAGCATCTATTGGGCGAGTAAATCTATTTTTTTTACTTGATTTTTTTTAAAAAAAAAAATCAAACTACACAATGAATGCATCCGATACCATCATCACTAGCCGACATGCCAAAATAGCAAAATAATGGACCAAATTAATTAACTAATTTTACAATTGCAAAAATTTTCTTGATCATACACAAATAAAATATCTAAGAAAAATGAGTGAGAGTGAGAGTGAGGAGAAAAGATTCTAGATGGCAAATTTTTATAAGGATCGAAATGCAATTGTCAAGAGAGCAAACAAGATATCCACTATTTGCGCTGCAAATGTTTTTAACATATGTTTCTCCATTTGTGGTCAAATGCTTTTACACATTTTTGTAGGCCCGTTAGAGTGAGAAAAACCAAGAAAAAGTAATACACGTACGTGTTTCGAGCATCTGATCTTATAGCAAGTAAATGTAGTCGTTTTTTTTTTCTTGAATTTTTTAAAATCTAACTAACCAATGAATGCATCCGATACCATCATCACTAGCCGACATACCAAAATCACCAAAATAATGGACCAAATTAATTAACTAATTTCCTAATTACAAAAATTTTCTTGATCATACACAAGTCAAAGATCAGAGAATAATGAGTGAAAGTTGGAAGACAAGATCCAAGATGGCCTATTTTTACACGGAGCGAAATGTAATCGTGAATAGAGCGAACGAGATATCCACTCTTTGCACCACAAATGTTGTTATCATATATTTTTCCATTTGCGGTCAATTGTTTGTACACATTTTTGTGGGCCCCATTAGAGAGAGAAAAATGACGGAAAAGTGAGACACGTGCGCGTTTCGAGCACCTACTAGGCGAGTAAATCTTTTTTTTTCTTGATTTTTTTAAAAAAATCAGACTAAACAATGAATGCATCTGATACCATCATCACTAGGCGACATACCAAAATCACCAAATTAATTAACTAATTTCCAAATTACAAAAATTCATGAAGAGAGCAAACGAGATATCTACTCTTTGCGCTGCAAATGTAGTTAAAATATGTTTTTCCATTTGCCCCGCGGTCAAATGTTTGTAGACGTTTTTGTGGTCTGGGCCCCATTAGAGAGAGAAAAACGAAGGAAAAGTAAGACACGTGCGCGTTTCGAGCATCTACTGGACGAGTAATTTTTTTTTTTCTTGAATTTTTTAAAGTCTAACTAAACAATGAATGCATCTGATACCATCATCACTAGCCGACATACTAAAATTACCAAAATAATGGACCAAATTAATTAACTAATTTCCCAATTATGAAAATTTTCTTGATATACACAAATAAAACATCATAGAATATTGAGTGAGAGTGAGGAGAAAAGATCCCTGATGACAAATTTTTACAAGAGCGAAATGCAATCGTGAAAAAAGCAAAAGAGATATCCACTCATTGCACTGCAAATGTTGTTATCATATGTTTCTCTATTTGCGGTCAAATGTTTGTACACGTTTTTGTAGGCCCCATTAGAGAGAAAAACCAAAGAAAAGTAAGACACATGTGCGTTTCGAGCATCTGATCTACTGGGCGAGTATATCTAGTTTTTTTTTTTAAATCTAACTCAACAATGAATGCGTCCGATACCATCATCACTAGCCGACATACCAAAATCACCAAAATAATGGACCAAATTAATTAACTAATTTCCAAATTACTAAAAAAAATTTGATCATACACAAATCAAAGATCAAAGAAGAATGAGTGAAATTGAGGAGACAAGATCCCAGATGACCAATTTTTAGAAAGAGCATAATGCAATCGTGAAGAGAGCAAACAAGATATCTACTATTTGCGTCGCAAATGTTGTTATCATTTGTT